AAGAAGGCTAATGGCATTTTGGGCTGTATAAGTTGGGGCATTGCCAGCGGATCGAGGGACGTGATCGTTCCCCTTTATTCGACATTGGTGAGGCCTCATCTGGAGTACTGTGTCCAGTTTTGGGCCCCACACTACAAGAAGGATGTGGAAAAATTTGGAAAGAGTCCAGCGGAGGGCAACACAAATGTTTACGGGTCTGGAGCACATGACTTATGAGGAGAGGCTGAGGGAACTGGGATTGTTTCTTCTCCAGAAGAGAAGAATGAGGGGGGATTTGTTAGCTGCTTTTAACTACCTGAAGGGGGGTTCCAAAGAGGATGGAGCAAGGCTGTTCTCAGTGGTGGCAGATGAGCAATGGTCTCAAGTTGCAGTGGGGGAGGTCTAGGTTGGATATTAGGGAAGACTATTTCACTAGGAGGGTGGTGAAGCACTGGAATGCGTTACCTACGGAGGTGGTGGAATCTCTTTCCTTAGAGGTTTTTAAGGCCCGGCTTGACAAAGCCCTGGCTGGGATGATTTAGTTGGGAATTGGTCCTGCTTTGAGCAGGGGGTTGGACTAGATGACCTCCTGAGGTCCCTTCCAACCCTGATATTCTATGATTCTATGATTCTCTTCGCAGTACAAGCAAGCATCCTTTAGTCTCTCCCATGTTAAAAAAAACTCATGGTTGATTCTGGTTGCATCTCCAGCTACCCATCTTCCTTCTTCCCTTCATTTGTAGGCTCGTTGAACGCTCTGTCTGCAATTGCTGTCTGGAGTTCTTTTCCTCCACTTCCATTGTAAACAGACTCTCCTTTCTAGCTTCTGCTCAGTCCACTCCCACCAAAGTCTCTGATGACCCATCCTTGGCCAGATCTCCATCCTTATCTTGTGCTCCTCCTCATCTGTTTGTTATATCCACATGTTGTCTCTCATGTTATAAATTGATTGTAAACTCTTTAGGGTGGGAACCATCTTTGCTCTGTGTATGTTCAGCACCTGGTTCTCTAGGCACCGCTGCAATACAAATATTTATGATTGATTATTATTATTGTTGTTTATTAGAATACCTGCTTTGAGGTTGAAATGTTGTTGGGAATACCTGGTAGTTCAAAGAAGGGGGGTGAATCTTGTTCCTAATTCTTCTTTGGCATAAGGAGTTGGGATCCTTCCTCCTCAGTACTAATACAAAACTAAATTTGAGCTGGAAATTAAACTTCTTGGAGATTAATCCAGATTGATCCATCACCCAGTTACCTATCTATGGTGTAAAACACTGAATTTGTAAACTTACAGTTTTGCAGAATTTGCTCTAACTGACGTAGTGAGCTGTATCAAAATGTACCAGTGGATGAATACATAAATTCAAGTCCTCAACTAGCACTGTATTTGCGTTCTAAAGCTTATACTCGATGCAATATGTGCCACCAGTAAATATCCCATTTAAAAGTTGGCCTGAATAAGATATGAATCATAGTAATATTGTGCTGAATAAATTCACTGTCTCAAGTAACTAGCTAAATGTAATTTATATTTTTATAGATGAGAGTCTGGAAGGCTCATGGCTAAACAGGAACGACACCATTCAAACTCCCGGGGCTCTGCAAACACCACAGCTCACTTCAACTGTATTGAGAGAGAACACTAGACAAATGGGAGAGCAGATTCAAGAGCATGAGTCAGAACATGGATCTGAACAAGATTTTTTACACAAGTATGTACCAAGATGTTACGCTCAAATGTATTGTGCTGAACAAGAAACACATGCTAAACAAAACAGTTGGGATAGCAGTAGCAGTTATACAACATGTTTGTGGTTTTACATTTGCAGCATATATTTTGGAGAGAGAAAAATCTCTTGCCTGGTAATTCCATAGGTTAGCCTGGTATAAATTGTGTCAAATAATATCATTTTTAGATTCTCAGAAAAAAACTATGTTAAAACAAAGGTAGAAAGGGCATATCCATAATTTAGGGGGGAAATATATTACAAGGATGCTGAAATTATCCAATGCAATAACAATACAATTATTTTAAGGCATTTTAGTGTCTGTTGCCCTCAATTAGTTTTAAATGATTTTTAAAGACATGGGATTTTTCTTTTATTTTTTCACCACCACAAGGCAGAGTTAAGGTTATTTGGGTGCCCTAACTGTGCATTTTCATAACTTGAAAAATGTTTGAATTTCTTTTAAGTTTAACTTAAAAGCTCTTTTCCTGAGTTTATAATGCTTGTTTGGGGGATAATTATAACATACCTGTAACTTATTTTACCCTAAATTACTGATCTTAACTCCAACTTTTTGTAGTTTGTCTGGGAATTTCCTTGGTCATCTTAATTTAAAAGTTTATACATGAACAAGAAACTGTGAGAATGCTATTATGTGATATTTCTAATATTTTGAAGATATGTAATATCAACCATACATCTTGTTTGTTTGTTTTAACTTTTATAGGCAGATTCACTGGTATGCTCTGGCTGCTTTTTTATAGGCAGATTCACTGGTATGCTCTGGCTGCTTTATATCATTCTGGAGCAAAGCAGCCAGGCCATACTAGCCAGTGAAACTGAGTTTACAGGAACTTTGTTTTGCCAGTGTAGTGCAAAGTGTAGTGCAAAGCAGCCAGAATATACTGTCTTGAAGTTGGCCCGAGAAGAAACTTACTGACGTGGCATCTAAAAATAATAAATACAAAATCAGTGCTGTGACTGAGTTAGTAATGCTGCTCTGTATGTGTTAGTCCCCAGATGCAGATATCTTGGTTGGGCCAGCAGAAGCTAGAAGATTTAAATCGAAAGGACAGGACAGGAATGAATTACATGAAAGGGAGAAGTGGTGTAAGACATGCAGTGTAAGTGTTCAAACCACTAAAGATCCTTTTCGTGATGAGTAATTGAATCAGTGAATCTGTTAATGATGGACTTAATCCTGCCCTGTGTAGTTGCTATTTTATTAGGGTTTGTAAAACATTTTATCGCTCTTAATACAAGCACACTAACAGCTTTATGAAGTTATGATGTGCATCAGCCGAGGGAATGTGGGCTAAGGTTTGGCACTCAGCTCTGCAAGACATTGATTGCTCCGGCCCCATCCATCAAAGCACTTTAAGCATAAGAGTACTCCCACCAAAGTCAGTAGGACCACTCATGTGAATAATCATTTGCTGAAGTGCTTTGCTGGATTGGGGCCAGAGTGCCCAGCACCTTACAAGATCAAGCCGTTAATGCTCAGGCCTGGGAACCAGTTTTGGGTTCTATTCCCAGAATTCCTGGTGATTTACTGTGAGACCTTGAGCAAGTCACGAGACCTCTCCGTACTTGCTTGCCCCATTGTAAAATGAAGCTATTACCACTTGCCTGCCCTAGAAGGTTGTTGTAAGGTTTAATGCTTCGAGTAGCGTCCCTAGGAGTGTTCCACTTCCAGTGTGCATGCACCTCTCGAGCCCTTGATCAGAGATTTTCAGTTAGCAGTGTCTGTTTGACTCGCGCATGCATCCTATGCCTCCTGGTACCAGACACCAAGGCTATACAGTTCTCAATCACCTCAGCCTGAGACAGTCCCTTAGTTTGCACCTTGAGTGTGCCTTGGCTTATCTATTTTTCTATACTTGTTAAGATAGTTAGTATTGTCAGTTGTTAGTCCAGTTATATTAGTTAGATAAGTATTGAGAGGATTGTGTTTTTTCTCCTCTTTTCCCTTCAAGAGGCTTGTTTTTCCTAGCAGGGCATGCCTGGCTCGCCAGGCTTCAAATGCTGCCTCTCCTGCCAAGAGGTTATACCTGTAAGGACAGCCACTCTAAGTGTGTCTGTTTGTTGGGGGAGTCCCACATCTCCAAGAAGTGCAACCTCTGCCTGGCCCTCAAGTCCAGGGCAAAGAAGAACAGGGAGATTAAACTCTCACTATTGATGATGGAACACTACCTTAGGCCAGCTTCTGAGTCAGGCCAGGAGACACGCCTCCGCATACCTGTCTCTCAACTGATCCAGTGCCCTTTCAACCTCAGCACAGGCTTCCCCTAAGAAGGTGAAGACTTTGGAGGCTTCATTGAAGACTTTTAAAAAGAGGAATGCAGACTCTCACATTAAGGAGCCAGCTCTGAAAAAGCCAAGGAGAGTTCTACAGAGAGATTTACAGTCTCCAAAGCCTCAACCTCTTGACTTGGTACCATTGAGTTGGAGGACTCCTCCTCTGGTACTGAGGAGGTGATGAAGTCCCAAAGCTTAAAGGAGAGACATGGCTCCCATAGGACCTCGGTACCCTCTACCAGCAAAGAGGGAAAACATACTGGACTGGCACCATCAAGCTCAGACCAACTGTTGGTACCTATGTATTTGTCACCAAGCAAGCATCGGTGCCAGACACCATCAGCATCTACTTCAGTACACTCACCATCAATGGTACTGTCAACTTCAGCAACTGTGTGCTCAGCTACTGCATCGGTAGTGATCCCCTACTCGGTACCACGAACATTCAGTTATACAAAGGATCTCTCTATAATGGATGAACCAAAGTCGCTGCTCTTAATGGGTACCCAGCCTCTCTCAGTACCAAGATCTCGATCTCCTGACCACCTTCCTCTGGTAATGTAGGACTCTGCACCACTTTCTGTGAGTGCTCCTCCATTGGATGAGATGGAGGAGGATGAAGGAGACTTCCAGTCAGTCTCCTCTATTTCTGTTCAGGGTTCTCCAGCATATCCCTTCAGGAACCTACTCTCTGACAGTCACAGGGAAGATCATTATCAAGCGTGGTAGAACCAACCCTGTATGCCATCCCCACTTCCACATGAGTCTCGCCTTGGCCATACTTGGATCCTGGGGCTGCTTATTGGAAACAATTGGCCTGACCACCAGTACCATCTTATAGGGAGGCCAGAATTATACAGCCTTCTCCTCTGGGGAGGTACCTTGAGGCGTGGCAAGGGCAGAGCATGCAGAGCCCTCCGCCCCCTACCCCCAGGGGCCGCAATGCTTCCTGTAGTGGCACAAGGCCGGGGCCACCCCAGAGCCGCTTTAGGTAAGTGGCGCTGGGCCAGAGCTCGAACCCCTCCTGCACCCCACCCCCCAACTCCCTGCCCTAAGCCCCCTGCCTGCATCTTGCACCCCTCCTGCACCCCAACTCCTCGCCCTGGGTCCCTTCGTACACCCCTCCTGCACCCCAACCCCCTTCCCTGAGCCCCCTCATACACACTGCACCCCTCCTCTGCCCCAATCCCTTGCCCTGACCCCCTTCCTGCACACCGCACTCCCTGCTCCACCCCTCCCCCCTGCCCAAAAAGTTTGCCCACCCCTGATATAGGTGGTGTCGGAGCAGGCCCGGCAATAGCACCCACACTCCACCTCGGCGGACAAGGAGGGCAAACAACTAGACCTTCTGGGTCGCAAGGTCGTCTTCTCTGCCAGCCTTCTATTTCGAATCTCCAATTACTTGGTTCTATTAGCTAAATACAACTTCCTTCCTTACAGCAAGTTGGCGGACTTTGCAGAAAAACTTCTTCAGCAGGATTGTGCCCGCTTCCCAACTATCTTATGGAAGGGAAATCCTGAGGATGACACTCCAGGCTGCAGTGGACTCAGCAGACACTTCTTCGTGCAAGATGGCTAAGGGAATTGTCACGAGGAGGAAATTGTGGCTACATTCTTGTTTCTCAAGGAAAATACAGAACACCATAGAGGACCTCCCTTTCAATGAGTCTCCTCTCTTCAATCAGAAGACAGACGATTCTCTCCACTCCCACAAGGATTCCAGAGCCACTCTTCAGTCGCTGGGTATCTACATACCGGCACCCAAGCGCAAGTTCTACCGCCTGCCACTGACGCAGCGTTTCAGAATTCCTCAATTCTTCCATCAGCAGCCCTATGAGCTTCCTTGCATACGACAGAATATCCAGTGCCCCATCCTCTCTGTTCATCGTCATAGCTTCAGCATCTCCTACTCAGTCTTCGCAGAAGCAATATTTTTGAGTGCATCTAGAGAGCTGCCAACCAACTTGCCTCATGCCATACACCCGACCCACCCCCTTCGGGGAGCATCTAGCACTCTTTTTATCAGCTTGGAGCTTGATAATAATGGACAAGTGGTTCCTAGATGTCATTCAACGTGGCTATACGATCAAGTTCCCACATTTAGTTGGGAATTGGTCCTGCTTTGAGCAGGGGGTTGGACTAGATGACCTCTTGAGGTCCCTTCCAACCCTGATATTCTATGATTCTATGCTACCTCATCCACATCCCCCACCCCGGCCTCGCCTCAGAAGCCACTCTCATGACAGTATCCTCACCTTAGAAGTGGACTCCATACTCCAAAGGAGAGCAATAAAACCAGTGCCTGTGACCTATCAAAGCACAGGGTTCTATTCCATGTATTTTCTGGTTCCCAAGAAGGGCGGGTGGAGACTGATCTTAGACTGATCCGTGGTCTCAACCACTTCATACGCAAGCCAAAGTTTTGTATGGTCACCCTAGCAGCCATCATATCTTCACTAGAAAAAGACATCTGGTTTATGGCTCTCGATATGCAGGATGCTTACTTTCATGTAGAGATCCATCCTACCCACAGACGTTTCTTGATATTCATGGCAGGCCCTTAACACTTCCAATACAGGATTCTGCTGTTCGACTCACTACTGGTCCACAGGTCTTCACCAAAGTTTTCTCTGTGGTGGCAGCCCACCTCTAGCATCAAGGTGTCCTTATATTCCCTTATCTCGATGACTGGCTGCTAGCAGCGCAATCCAAATGGGAGGTTCAAGCCTCGACCTCTGTGCTGCTCGTATTCCTCTCCTCCTAGGTGGTGAGCATAAATATTGAAAAATTGACTTTGGTACCCCCTCAGTCCCTATAATTCATTGGGGCCTGCATCAATGCAGTCTTCGCGCACGCCTGTCTACCAGAGGACAGATTCCAGATCCCCCAAGAGCTTATTGACAAGGTGGTCTCCATTCCTTCTGTTCTGGCCAGGGCTTGCCTTTCCCTTCTTGACCTTCACTCGTCTTTGCTTTCACTGCCTGCAGTTGTGGCTCCAGAGGGCCTATTCTCCCACGCACCATACCGTAGACTTCCTACAGACAGTACCACCCAACGTTCTCTCCTCCCCAGGTCAGGTCTGCACCAGGATACCGTTCCTTCCATCCTCTTTGAACATGATGCTCATTACTGATGTGTCGCTTGCTGGATTTGGCATCCACATGGGCAATAACATGACATGGGACTTGGACTGCTCAAGAATCCTGGATGCACATCAATGTCCTAGAACTTTGGGCCATGCGTTTCTCCTATCCATTCACTCCTGTCATGTTCTCATCATGTCAGACAACACCACCGCCATTTACATCATCAAGAAACCAGGGGGCACGAGGTTGCCAGCACATTGTGCAGAAGCAGTTCATTTTGGGGATTGGTGCATTACCCACAAGATACTGTTGTCAGCAGCATATCTTCCCAGGACTCCAAACATAATTGTGGACTCTCTCAGCAGGAAATTTGTGTCCAATCATGAATAGGAACTCCACAACACCATGGTCGCATATATTTTCGACCGCTGGGAGACTCTGACCAGAGACCTCTACACCTCCCACGCCAATAGCAAATGCACACAGTACTGCTGTGGGTGGAGGCGGAAGGGTTGGCACCCTCTCCCAAGGTGATGCCCTAGTCATACACTGGTTGGAACAGATCAATTATGCCTTTCCTCCCCTACTGCTCCTGCCGTGTGTCCTACACAAGATCCCGGAGAGAACAACGGCCATTGTGATTGCCCTATTCTGACCTCGCCAGTTCTGGGTTCCCCTCCTTCACTGTATTTCAGTGCATCCCCCACTTCCATTGGCAGCTTCCCTGGAACTCCTCACACATGATGGCGGCAAGATCAGATATCCTGATCAACAGACATTTTACCTATGAGCTTGTTTTTTGGGTGGACATCTTCACTAGACATCCTCTCGAGTAGCAGAAAAGGGTCAGTGAGGTGGTCCTATAGGGCCAAGTGGAAGCGTTTCACCTCATAGGCCCAGCAGAGGGGTCTTGCCTTTGAGGATGTAGACGTCCCTCTGATTCTGGACTACCTCCTGTCCCTGAAGGCGTCAGGACTCACGCTCAACTCCATCAAGGTGCACATAGCCGCTATCGATGCCTTGCACCACCACCACCAACAACAACAACCCCCATGGAGGGGTGGGCACTCTGTCTTTACACACCCCTTAACTACCAGGTTTTGGAAGGGCCTCCTACGGATTTATCCACCTGTTCAACCCATTGCTCCCCAGTGGGACATTAATCTTGTCCTCGTGGTGTTGATGAAATCACCATTTGAACCTATGGCCTCCTGCTCCCTGTCTCTCCTTTCCATGAAGGTCGTCTTCCTGGTAGCTATTACTTCCGTGAGAAGAGTAGGTGAAGAGGGGGCCATGATGGCAGACCCCCACCTTACCACGTTCCATAAGGACAAGGTTTCACTGCGCTTGCACCCCAAGTTTCTGCCAAAGGTTGTATCCTGCTTTCATCTCAACCATCCCATACACTTACCTGCTTTCTTTCTGAAGCCTCATACATCAACGGAGGAACGGCACCTTCTCTCCCTCAGTGTCCACGGGATCCTGGCCTTCTACTTGCAGAGGACGAGATAATTCAGGAAGTCCCCTAGACGGTTTATTGCTCAAATGGAAAAGATTGAGGGGCAAGCGATCGCCACTCAAAGGATCTCTAAGTGGGCTTCGGGGTACATTACGCTCTGCTATCACTTGTCAGGACTGTCTCCACCCCTTGGGGTACGAACCCACTCCACAAGGGCACAAGCAACAACTACAGCCGTGCTTCATGACGTACCACTTACAGACATATGTAGGGGGCCATATGGAGTTCGGTACGTACCTTCTCTTCCCATTACACCTTAGGATGAGACTACAACGGATGCCTCATTTGGCACGGCTCTTCTCTGTTCCACAGTTCCATCGTCTTCCTCGTACCCTTGTCCTAACTAGGTATTGCTTGTTAATCACCGTCAGTGGAATACAATAGGAACCATCATTCAAAGAAGAAGAGGTGGTTACTTAAATGTAATTGGAGGTTCTTCAAGATGTGTGGTCCCTATCTGTATTTCAATCCCGCTCTCCTTCCCCTCTGCTGCGGATCTGTTCCATGTGCAGTGGAGAAGGAACTGAGGATGTGGTTGGTCCTCCCCATCCTTTATTGCCTCAGACAAAATCATAAGGCAGAGCAAGGGTGTGTGCACGTACCAGCAGACCCTACTGCTTTTAAAATCTCCGGCTCCGGACTCATGGCACATGTTTATAACACTCAATGGATTACAAATAGGGACCACACATCTTGAAGAACCTCCAGTTACAGTTAAGTAACCTCCTTTTCTTTCACTAGCAAAAGGGGATTGGTCATCAACCCTCGAACTACAAGATACCTATTTTTGTACAATAATACACCCATCACACAGGAATTACCTACACTTCACTATAGGCCAGAATCATTTACCGTACCAAGTGCTCTCTTTTGGTCTTTCTTCGGCCCCAAGGTTGTTCTCAAAGTTCTTGGTGGTAGTGGCTGCTTACCTCCAACAAAAAGCGATCCTAGTCTTCCTGTACCTCAACAACTGGCTACTCAAGGGCTGTTCTTCTGAAGCAGTGCTATCTTCCTCCCAGACAGCCCTTGCTCTGTTCCAGGAGTTGGGTCTGCAGCTTAATGTAAAAACATCCTTATTAACCCTTGTACAGAAGATAGAGTTTATAGGGGTGCATTTAAACTCATTAACAGCCTGACACTACCTTCCCTGAGACAGATTTGTAACTTTGTCAGGACTGGTGTAGGCAATTCAAGGAGCCCTTGGACCACAATAAGGAACTGTCGAGCTCCTGGGACACAAGGCATCTTGTACCTTTGTGATCAATCACTCAAGACTACACCTCTGCTGCTTCCAGGGTTGGCTCATAGACACCTTGTATAGACAGGTGATGGTTCCTCTACAAGTGAAGCAGTCCCTAGACTGGTGGAAGGATCAACTCAGCCTCTGTGCAGGTGTTCCTTTCTGTCACTGAGGTCCATCAGTGACT